TGAACTTCAGGAAAATTATCATATTAAAGACAAATACAAGGGAGGAAATTTGATCGAATTTTTTAATTTCTGAACTCTGAGCAATTTCCAAATTTAAAGAAATTTGCTTGTAAATTTATCTCCATTTTTGGGACGACATATCTGTGTGAACAAACTTTTTCCCAGACGAAGTACGCCAAGTCGAAATACGGGGCAAATTTATCCAATGAACATTTAAAGTCGCTACTTGTGATTAGCGTTTCAAAATTTGAACCTCAATTTAATCAGATTTTAAGAATGCAAAAAGAGTTCCATCATTCACATTAATTGTTTTATTATAATTTGTGATGAAATATGAGCATTTGCTGCTACTGTCTGTTGTCATTAATATGCGATAATTTATTCTCACGTACTTTGTATTTAGTTTACGAAATTCTGTGCTTTCAATAAAACTCATATACCTAGAGTTATTAATTTCTCATTTTATCTGGCCCGTTGAAAGTGCTGAATTACCTAAGATGGCCGCGGTTCGAAAATTTGGAGACCCCTGCTCTAGAGAAACACTTCCTGTATGAAACTCTTGCCATTAAAAGGTAGAGCTATTCCTCTAACGGGCCGTGGAGGCCCACAGGTTTCTGAGACTCGACAGTCGTCTCACAGATGGCGGTGATGCTGTCAGCCTTACGCGCCGGTCGCCCCTTACCCACAGGGAAATTCCTAGGACTCATTTCTGTTAGAGCCTGAGTCGACCCCACGGCCATAGTGAGGCTGGAAGGATTAGGTTAATAAAAGAAAAATTCAATGACCTCATCGGGAATTGAACCCGCGACTTTCCGGCTTGTAGCACAGTGTCGCTACCGCGTGCCTTTTGGCGTTACTTCATACAATTATTTAAGTGTACAAACAATACTGAGCACCTCTTCCCAAGCGGCATCACCTCCAAGTTGTGTTCGTGAGGTACCCGGTTCGAATTGCGGCCAGAACACTCATTATCCTGACCGAGGACAGTCGTGGTTTCACGCAGTCCCACCAGATGAACGACGGGACGAGGTAATTTAAAGAATCTGAGGTTCTCACAGCGGTGGTTATGGGGAGCTACAGCGTAGTCCGCTGAGACTCAACTGGCATTTCGGAGGAAAATGCTGCTTGGCTTTTCTTCGACCAGGAAAATTGAGGCTACGTTCCTCCGAATTGTATGTTCATTTTCAACGGACTACACGGCGTCATACCCAGAAGACAGAACTCTTCGCGATAATTTGTCCCTGTATTTAATTAAGCACCAAGCCTTGAAACGTATGGGGGAGTGGAGGTACAGTTACAAGGAATCTTAACCTCAGCACTAGATAGAGGCGAATGGTCAGCTTCATGCCCTGGCCGCTTTACCACTGGCGTAATAACCCCCAGTAGCCAATGGAGAAGGTGATGGGTGTGTCCCCAAACTTGTCTGGAAGCTGTGGAACAGAGAAATGTCTCTTGCCCTTGCGTTCAGACAGTAGCCTCGTCACTGGACCGACTGAGTACGGTGCCTGCAATATAATACTTAAAGTAACGAATTCGAGCAAAAATTTCTAAGGAACATTCGTAACAGACGTGGTTCAAATTTCATGCATAATATTCCGATATAATTTAAACATGCTATTGATTTCGGACGTTTCGGACTCTATATTTTTTTCCCCCATTGGCGCTACAGCCCTCATTTGGGCCTAGGCCTGCCTCCATGAAACTCTCCATTTCACTTCGGTTTTACTAGATCTTAGACATACGATAGGACTCCTTGGGCGGGTGATCAGCTCGTGGCAAGGCCTCTACCTGTACACAAACACAGAAAAACGCACACAAACATCCATGCCCTGAGTGGGATTCGAACTCACAATCCCGGCTTCCAAGCGAGCGAAGGCAGTGCATGCCTTAGACCGCTCGGCTACCGTGACCGGCTCTGACTCTCTGTAGTACCTTCAAAATACGTGTAGTCTCCTGCGTGTGAAGCAAACAGCGCGACGAGGGAATTTGGATACCAACTCAACATTTTCTCTAGGGCAGAGGAAAACCACGGAATATTTTGATGGATTTGTCTGGCAGCAGGACCTTTCCGGATGCAAGGGGACTTCTAGCCAGCAGTCCGGCATTTGAATACGCGAACCGTAACTGTGCTGTTGCTTTATTTTGAAATTTGTACAGATCTCTCGTTCATAGTTTGTTCGAGAGTCGCGCCCAGGCCGCTTTACCCCCGGTACCCATTGCATAAGAGGCTGGGTAGGTCCCAGAGCCGGCCCAGGCATTGTGAAGAAGAGAAAAATCTCTTGCATTCTGCCGGGAATCGAACCCTGGTCGTCCAGCCCGTCGCTATACCGACTGAGCTATCACATACTGCACGTTTCTGCTGAACTAACGGTACCGCCAGACACTGTGCGAGCAGTCCCGTAGTTCGACACATATGACTCGACGCGACCGGTACACACGCACGGCCAGAAACAAGTGCTGTTGTCTCACCGGCACTTCACTTACATCGCAAGTGGATACTCTGCCCGAACCTGATTATAATGAACATTCATGTCACAAGTTCAAGGGGACGCCGTTCACTGACCGTAAGCGCGACAGAGCCTGATGTAAGCCAGTAAAATTGTCCCTGTGCACCGCGCTATGAAGACGTGTGGGAGAGTGGAGGTGAAGGTCCGCTGTTCTTTACCTCGGCACTAGATGGAGGTGAGCGGTGAGCTTCTCGCCCCAGCCTCTTTACACCTGGGGAAAAAGCCCCCGATACCCATTGGATAGGAGGATGGGTGGGCACCAGAGCCGGTCTGGACGCTGTGAAAACGAGAACAATATCTTGCCTTAGCAAGAATCGTCCAGCCCCGTAGCCCATATCCGTACCGACTGCTCACTCAGTCACTCTCGGAGCTGAGTCCTTCTTCAGGAGCCGCCAACTGTGCAGCTACTCAACTTCCCAGCAATGTATGGAATCCGAAGGTTCATTACCGTGTGAACAAGAGCCCTGCACTCGGCCCCTATACTGAGTCAGATGAATCCAATCCATCCCATTCCATTCTCTCTCTCTCTCTCTCTAAGATCCATCTTAATATTGTCCACAAACCTACGTCTTGGCCTTCCCAGTGGTTTCTTTCCTTTTCTCTCTCCCACCAATATCCTACATGCATTCAAACTCTCCCCCATTCGTGCTACATGCCCTGTCCATCGCATCCTCCTTGACTTGATCATTTTAATTATACTTGGAGAAGAGTACAAGTTATGAAGCTCCTCATTATGTAGTTTTCTCCAGCCTCCCGTCACTTCATCTCTCTTTTGTCCAAATATTCTCAACACCCTGTTCAGAGACATCCTCAGTCTATGTTCCTCCCTTAATGTCAGAAACCAAGTTTCACGCCCACACAGAACCACAGGCAAAATTATAGTTTGTATATTCATTTTTTTATGATTTTGGACAACAGACGAGAAGACAAAAGGTTCTGGACTAAACGGTAGCAAGTATTACCCGAGGTCAATCGCCTCTTTAATTTCCTCCTGGATCAGGGTTAGATTTGTTATCGTCGTTCCCAAATACCTGAACTGTGCCACATTTTCAAAATATCTGTTAGCTGTCTTTATGGCATTATTTTGCCCTGCATTTTGGTGACGAGACAGTAACATATACTTAGTTTTCTCTGTGTTTACTTCTAGAGCAGCCTCCTTACTAGCGTCAATTAAAGTTTGTGTTTTTTTTTCTTTACGATATATATATATTTATATTACCACCCAGTAGATTCATATCATCAGTATAGACCAGCAGCTGATGTGTCTTNGTCTAAGGCATGAACTGTCTTCGCCCGCTTGAACACTGGGATCGTGTGTTCGAATCACTCTCAAAGCATGGATGTCTGTTTGCGTTTATTCTGTTTGTGTTGTTCTGTGTGTAGGTGGCGGCCTTGCGACGGGCTGATCCCCCGTTCAAGGAGTCATACCGACTGTGTACAGGATTAAGAAACTGAAAAAGCGGCCAAGGTCCAATAGAAGGTCTGTAGAGACATAGATAGATATAAATATGCTTACTTACTTTGGGTGGTTGCGCCTTAAGTAGTAAAGCTTATGATTTCTGTTCCGAGGGTCACTGGCTCGAATTTCGACTGAGGAATCAGCTAGGTTCGAAAAGTGAGCTGTACTGCCCACTGAGAGGCGGTGGGATGAACCAGTGGGCGCTACGTGGAAGGGGGGGGCGATAGAGAAGCGTTGGAGGTGGGCCCATCCAAGCGTATTTACGATTTAGAAGTGACTTTAGACCAGACATTGGGGAATTGGTCGCTCGGTCGCTATAGACTACGGGCCAAGGAATTTGTATGGTTCAAATCGCCTGAATGAAGCGCGCAAGTGATGCGCGAGTCCACTGTACAGTAATCGATATTTCATGTTTCCAGGTCGAGTGGCGTTCGAGAAGTTGACAGAACTCGACTATAGAGGCAGCACTTACTACACAGTGAAGAACCTCTCTCTCTACGAATGCCAAGGATGGTGTCGCGAGGAGCCCGACTGCCAGGCTGCTTCGTTCAGGTACATACGTGTACATCACTGACTCCATAGCTCAGTCGGTATACCGGCCAGCTGCGAGCAGGGCAGGCGAGGTTCGACTTCCCGGCAGGTACAAGATATATTTTTTCTAATCCACAACGTCCAGACTTGCTGTGAGGGTCCATACACCCTCCTACCCAATGAGTATTAGTGGTAAAGAGGACTGGGGCGTGAAGCTGATCATTCACCTTCGTCTAGTGCTGAGGTCAAGGATGGTGGAGCTGTACCTCCACTATCCAGTATGACTTCATGGCTTCGTGCTTAATTAAGCACAGTGACCACTTTTGCCTCTTACCAAATACAGTCCTACTGCTAAAGAATGGGATGGTACAACACACTTGGAACGTGTGCGGAAGACCTGCACCACTGATGTCAAAATCACTTTCCCACTTGTCCCGAGGCTCACTCGCCCAATATTAAACAAGTTCCGTTTTAAAGCTTCTATATGGTATCGGGCACACGCTAGCGCAGTTGTTGAGGCAGTATACTACAAGCCGGAAGGTCGCGGGTTCAATTCTCGGTGAGGTCATTTGATTTTTCAATTGACCTAATCCTTCCAGCCGCACTATGGCCCTGGGGTCGACTCAGCCCCAAACAGAAATGAGTACCAAGAATCTTCATGGGGGATAAAGGGTGGCCAGGCCGTACGACTGACAACCTCACCGCCAACTGTGTGAGCCTCGATGTCTCACATCCCTATCAGCCTCCACGTTCTTTTACAGGGATAGTTTTTTTTTTACCTTCTTTATCTGGTACCATCTGTGTGTAAACTCTCTAAACGTCCATTTTGCAGCTTCGTGGTGAATCCGCTGACTCCGATACAAGAGACACTGTGTCAGTTGCAGAATGAAACTTCAGCCAACAACCCAACTGCAGTGCCACAAAGATCCGTTAACCTCTATTACATGGTCAAGATGCAGTTACGATCAGGTAAATTGTATAATTCTTGTTAAGAGAAGATATAATATTGTTATAACAAGTAATTTATTATTGAAGCTGTTTAAGAGTTCAAAATAAATGACCCATGATATTGCTACTGCACTTGAAGAAGATAACTGTCTCACTGGAACTGAATCCGCCACACAAGATATTCAGAAGCTTTACAAAACCTGGAGGCTCATGACCGTTTTCACAAGACCCCACTGGTCCCTATTCTTGGCCAGAAGAAACCACTTAACACAACCCAGCCAACTTTTCTAGGATACATTTCAGCATCATCCCCCAGTTTACGTTTAGGTCTTCCAACAACAAATTAAAAAAAAAAAAAAAGTAATATAAGTTGTTCTAATCTCTTGTACTGAAAATAAACTTTTGTTTTCTTATTTTAACACAGTTGAGTCTATTGTGTTCTTTTCTTTATGTAAATTTTAACAATTTGGAAAAAAAATACAGATCTGTTCAGTTGGGACCCTTATAAAATGCTGAAACAAAAGACTTTATTTTCCGAAATGATCTCTCCCGAATGCAACACAATGAATTAGGTTCAGAATCCAAGTAATATTAAGCATAATATTTCATATGATTTTAGTGATTAAAGACGGAGTTTGGATTGGTGTTCAGATTTACTGAACTCTTGCAACTCGTAACTACAAGTAAGGATAATGCTCTCACTGTTCTACACATTTCACGAGTCGCTACAGAACACACTATGTCTTCTCAGTCTGGTAGTCTTCACTAGCCGTTGCTTCAACTGAGGACGTTCCCCTTCCTCTGGGTTCCCTAACTGTGCCCGGGCTCAGCTACCAGCTTCTCACAGCAACAGTTCACAACAATTGAACTCCAGCGGTTATCTAACTAACTTACCAACCAAAGTCAAAATCAAAGTTATGTTACGACCGACGGTCAGTCGATCAGTCTGTCACGATGTCAAACACCCATCTGGGGCCCATGATCAATTTTTTATGAGCGTCACACAGTTGCTGGTTTGTTCATGTGGGGCACCCTCTCTGACGAGAGGACGGGTCTGTCTGTCGAATACAATCGCTACTGGTGCTCGCCAGCACAGTAATTTTGCTTTCATGAGTTTTAATTCAATTTCTGTGATCTCCATGATTGTGTCTTCTTGGCTGTCCCATTGAGCTCATCATGATCTGCAGAAATGTCTTCGTGTCTACTGTGAACATTTTCACAGAAAGTTAGATGGCCCTGCTTATAACATCTCAGCACAGACCGTTCCCCTGTTGCAGTGCAACTGTTGCCTAGCGATGGCATGACGTATTCCTCCACTGTTGCATGCGCAGCCATCGGCATGGACTGCGCAGAAAACACCATTCCTATACTGTTGTTTACAGGCCACTGCCTAGTAACGGGATCTACATGTCATAATATCGTCGACACATCCCTTTTGGAAGATCACCACTTTTTAACAAAGCCATGGTTGGATGCTGTGGAAATGGTCGCTGAATCTTGCCTCATGTGTTGTTGAAACGTGCACGATTTCAGTTATCTTAGTTCACGAACAATATTCTGCTGACTGCAAACCGTACAGGACAAAAATACATAATAAAGAATTATTTAGTGTACCGTGAATGGCAATGCTACAAGCAGGTAGGTCGCGGGTTCGAGTCCCAATGAGGTGGATTTATTTCAATTTACATACTCCTTCCAGTCGCACTATGACCATTGGGTTGATTCAGCCTCTAACAGAAATGAGTACCAGGAATCTTCCTGGGGGGTAAAGGGCGGCCGGCGCATAAGTTAGTTCGACAATCTCACCGCCATCTGTGAGCCGACTGTTTAGAAAAATGTGTGAGCCTCAATGTCTAAAAAACATGGGCCTTCACCGCCTGTTACAGGGATGGCTTTACCTTTACCATGGCTGGTAAAACTACAGTGAAGCATTTCTGTGTATATTCAAATAATGAGCCGACAAATGAACACTTTACTTTCAGCGAAAACAATTTGATGACACGTCATCATGGGTGTCAGAAGAGGTGTGGAGAAGTCAGTCATCCGCCTCCCCTCAAGTCTTGGAGAGAAAATCAAAAGAGGTTAAAAATGAAGTAAATGTACGCAAAATTAAAATTATTTTCAAAAACTTATTCTTCTCTTCTGAATACTCTAAGGCAATTAGGAAACCTCCCTTAAACGGCTCAAACGAAAGTGTGTAAGGAAATTTCTCTGGCTGCAAACCCGTGTCTCCCAGAAAAACAAAACAATTCGTGTTGCGTCCACGCAAGTCACTAACAACGAAACTAGCATTGCGGGTATGGAGGCAAGGGCTGTGATATGCTTCAGGTACTTCAGTTGGGCCCATGCCACAGCTGTGTCTATACCCCCATACATTCAGAACTCTTACATTCCCGCATCAATTGGCTTAACAAGTAAAATATATTTTACAAAATAAGAAATGAGTAAATACTCATGATTAAACACGACTAAAGACTAACAAACGACGCAATTCCTTGGAACAAGAGCGCCTCTTGAGATGCTAAGAGCCGCTCATCTACCCTAGAAAAACTGGAAAGAAACCCTAATAAATCTTAACATTTAATAATTTTCTATTCCGCTTTACAAAAAAAATAGTTCCTGGTTGTGTCAAGGAATATAATACACAAAATTATAATCTTACCTGCTGCTTTGTATGAGTCTAGATCTCGCATACTAGAGAAAGACTGCGTGTGTTTGAGGATGTGGAGCTGAAGAAAATTGTACTTGGACCTAAAGGCACAGAAGTAGCCGATCACAGTGACCGGTCGCGCAGTCTAAGGCATGAACTCTCTCCGCTCGCTCGAACGCTGGGATCGTGGGTTCGAATCCCACTCAAGGCATGGATGTCTGTGTGCGTTTATTCTGTGTGTAGGTAGCGGCCTTGCGATGGGCTGATCCCTCGTCCAAGGAGTCCTACCGACTGCGTATAGGATTAAGAAACTGAAAAGCGGCCAAGGTCCAACAGAGGGCTGTAGAGCCATAGGTAGGTAGGTAAAGGCAAATAAGTAACGAGGGAATGGAAAAAATATACAATATTTTGAATTTTCGTCCATTATTACACTACAACGATCAGACTAATGACAATGACATTGGCAGGGTATGCAAGATACATGGGGAGACTCGAAATGTATTCGAAATTTTGGATTGAAAACATGGAAGGAAGAGAGACAAATTGGAAGACCTATGTGTAGATGGGCGAACAATATTAAAATTGATATTAAAAGAGACTGAGTGGACCTGGAATAGTTTTGTTCAGGATACAGACAAATGGCGAGCTCTAGTGAACATGGTAATGAACCTTCAGGTTTCATATACGGTAAGGTAAGTTCCTGGCTACATGAGCTACCATCTGATTTTCATTAAGAAAGGTTGTGCTCCATCTGTATCAGTCTGTGGTTCAGGCTGTCTCACATGCAATGTTTGTGTTGCAGATAATGTTTGTCTCAGGCCTTGGGCTTTCGAACGAGTTCCTAACAAAATGATTCGAGGCCTCGACAATGTTCTCATCTACACGTCGACAAAAGAAACGTGTCTAGCTGCCTGCTTAAATGAGGTACGTGATCTGCAAATTTTGTGTATCTGGCTCACTTGTCTTCATTTGTAAAGGAAGCAGTCATTGTGTGTGTCTCCCGCCGTCTCTGTAAAAACTCTATTTTTGCCCTCTTTCCTAAAGTAAACTTATGCGACCTCTATACTAGTGCGTCTGTCAATCCCCCACCCCAACCAATCTTTATGAAACTTGATATGTACTCGTACATCATGGCACCTAAGCCTATCTTCACGGCGTAATCATAAATCCCTTCCATCAGAGGCTCTGTGTCTGTGTGTGTATCCCTCCCATTGTTGCTAGACAACGGCTCGGTAAACACGTTCCCCGGTGCAGAATATACGCAACAGTAGAAGAACTGTTGGACACGTGTGTCAATGGGTCTGTGTGTGTGTATCCCCCTGTATCGTTGCTGGGTGACAAATCGATAAAGACTTTCCCGCTGCAGTGAAAAATTGCTGGAGGTGTCGTTTTCTATACGGTCCGTATCATATCAAAGTAAAGTAGGCGATCAGTTCTTACAAAACTTCTTGTGATACGGTTACCCGCTAATAGAGGTCACACTGCCATTTTCATTACTAAATTAATCCCTTCAAATAGGGGAGGAGCGGTTCTCAAATTATGATCTGGCGCAACAATGTGTAGCAGTTCAATTCTATTTGCCCCACAGCTTGGGGAACACTCTTAAGTGAGTAGTAAGTTGCTGTTGGCCTCACCAGCACAGCCCAATGGGACTCATATTTGATTGCTCCGGGAGCCTTGAGAGCTCTGATGCAGCCGCTCACACTCAGGTTGGGCATCAATTGCTGCTGGCCCTCACCAGCACAGCCCAACGTGACTCATGTTTATGGCTCCAGGAGCCTTGAGAGCTCTGATGCAGCCGCTCACACTCAGGTTGGGCGTCAATTGCTGGACGCAATTTCATCCGTGGGTGTGTGAGGAAGGCATTCGGACTGAATTATAAGACAGATTTGGGTGACTTCAGGTATAAGGTATCAGCAGTGGTAGCTCAGGTGCGGTAAAACATCCCATTCAAGGATTTCAGTAAAACACCAGTGACATGCACACAGGCATGTGAGAGCGGAGCACTGGCTGCGGTATACTAGAATTATTATTAGTTGTTAGGGCGAGTTCGACTGCCTGTTGAAGAGTTGTACAACTGGAATACAACGACGTGTAGTCCGTTGAAAGTCGACTGACGTTTCGGAGGAACATGTTGCCGCCATTGCCAGGGCCGCAGGATAAGCCAGGATACCAGGGTGAGACAGGTAGCAAGCAGAGCTCCTGAAGATGGAGGCGACCTGTTCCTCTGAAACGTCGGTTGTTTTCTTGTTGCTCACAGCACAACACATGCATATGAAGGGTAAAGCTATACAGGCCGAGAGGCCCATAGGGTTATGAGACGTTGAGGCTCCCAACATTTTCTAGACAATCGGCTCACAAATGGCGGTATGAACATCCACTGCCTCCGATCCCGCACTACAGATCCTTGGCTACACCGCGAGAAAAATGCGTGTTAAAGTTTTAGGTTTCTTGGGAAATTGTTCTTTGTGTGAGATTTGATATGATTTTGTTTGTGTGCGTGTGTGAGCGAGGAACCTCATGTAGATGTACAGTCTACTCTTGGGTAATTTCATCGTGTGGGTGTGGGCAGTGTTCCATGTGTTTCGGAGGCATATACTGCCTCCATCCTGAGGGTTCTGAGTCGACATCAAAACCGAACCACTATGAAAATCTAAGATGACAGTAGGAACCCCGTGTAAATATTGGGCTGTGCAGAATCAGCATTAATATAAGGGACGATTCTGCAGCAGCAGAACATAATACAGGTTTGATTCAGGTTCTGACATGGAAAGAAGTTGATGACGTGTCGAACCGAATTTAAAGGCAACTGCAAAGTGGTTCAGTGTCACACACATCTGTATCGCTGTGAAACCACAGAAGCTAAAAGAAAGACGTGTAGTCGGTACAGCTTAGCGAGTGATCGAAATGGTACAACGGCAGGATCGCACGTGTCCCTGCTTGAGGCACCTGTAAAAGCGTATACTTCTTAAATTTTATTCAAATGTCCCATTTAATGATGCAATAAATTCCAGTAAAAGTGTATTAATTTCATTCCGTCTAAAGGTATTTGATAAATAACTTCACATCACGACACATAACAACAAATAATTGTATACAACAGCGGCGATTCATGACTTACTTTTCTTGTATGGCTCATCTACATATATCGAAATTTAATGCAACGCATTCGACAATGGTTTGTTCTTTCTCGCGGATGGTCACGGAAATCCCATAAAGCACACATAAAAATACTTAATAATAATCTAAGGTTACAACTGTTAACTTGTACGAAATAGCGTTACATTTTGTGCAAATTTCTACAAGTTGTGAAGTTGTTAACTTACTTGAGTGTCGGTTCCTTGATGATCACGTGAGCACTTTCACAAGAATCCTGTCATTAATATTTAATTTTCACCTCTTAACTTCGTCAGAATCACCAGTATTTCTAAATGATCCTGTTTCCTAAAACACAATATAATTTCCATATATTCATGTCCTTAAACACAAATGCACTTCCATCAGAACACAACACACAGATCATTTTCCCTTATCTGACCCGCATTGACATCTACCAATAATGGCACAGATTCCAGTCTTAAACAGTACGGCCTTATCTTTGCTACAATAAATCACGATTGCACATTATCACGTACATTACACCACAAAATACAGAGTAGGGCGCAGAAACTTCCTTTTTGTGAAGACGCTTTGTGAAGGGAAGGGAGGTCGCAGAAAAGTGGGGATAGGCTCGGCGAACGCAGCAGTCGCGGAAGTTTCTGTCTAATACCCCTCAGTAGGAAACATGAGGTCGACGAGTGAGCAGCGTGCGTTTGCTGTCGAAGCCTAATTTTCGAACAACCATTCCTACGTGGCGGTGCAGCGTGCGCTCCGTTCTCACTTCGGAATTAAAGCCAGAGGTCCGGTTCCCGACCGGAAATCAATTGTTTTGTGGGTAGAGAACTTTAGAACAACCGGGAGTGTGGTGAAAAAATCATCAGAACGACAACGGACCGTTACGACCTCAGAAAATGTGGAGGCAGTTCGACAGTCGATTTTGAGATCTCCAAGATGCTCCGCTCGCAGACATGCAGTCGCCCTAGACATATCCAATCGTTCAATGCGCCGAATTCTTCACGAATATCTTAATTTCCATCCCTATAAGATGGTTTGTTGTGCAAGAATTGTGACCACGTGATTTCCAGAACCGAATAATGGCGTTCGAAACGTTATTGGAAACTTTATCCCCTGACGCACTTGCTTTCTTTAGTGATGAGGCACATTTTCACCTATCCGGATATGTCAACAAGCAGAATATGCGCTATTGGAGTGGTAACAATCCCAGAGAGCTCCATGAGAGGCCACTTCACAGTGATAAGGTGACAGTATGGTGTGCGTTGTCGAGAGTTGGAGTTATTGGCCCTAATTTTTTTGAAGAAGACAATCATGCAGTTACTGTCAATTCACAGCGGTATGTGGACATGATTAAAAAATTTCGAACCAGCTCTTGAAGAAATGCATCTAGGAAATGTCTAGTTCCAACAGGATGGTGCCACGGCCCACACAGCCCGAGCTTCGATGACAGTTCTGAGGGCAAAGTTCCCCGGATGGCTCATCTCGCTTCGAGGTGACATCCCGTGGGCAGCGCACTCACCTGATCTAACGCCCTGTGATTTGTTTTTATGGGGATACCTCAAGGCAGAGGTTTTAAACATCGCCCCACAAATCTGCTTCAGCTGAAGAATGTTATTCGGCAGGAATTAGTCCAAATTCCGGTGCACATGTTGGAACGTGCAGAGGGGAACTTCAGAAAACGATTGCATCAGTGCATAGAGGACGGTGTTTAAAACATGATCTAAAACTTTAAAGTATGTTCTCTCGTTAGCTAAACATAAATTTTGTTTATCAGCAATAATTTTTCTTTTATTCGCGTTCAAAAAACGGAAGTTTCTGTGTCCCATTCTGTATTCACTGACTCATTAAAAAAATCCAAACACACCCTTTTCCGCTACTGGTAACGGCATACTGATGTACTGTCAATTTGGATATTTAGCCGTGGTACTGCAGCTAAAAATGCAGCCATTGCAGTAAATATTCCTATTACGTGAACAGAACGTTTGATATATTATCTTAATCCCCATTTGCTATGATAACATTTTGTTTTGCTCAGTTTAAGAAGGAAGCGTTTGTCAAATTTCTCCTTAGCAGACACATTTCAACGTAACCTCTTCCACCACTAGCAGAAAGAAAATTCATGGTGACCAACCCTATCTGGCTCCGAACGCGTAAGAACCGGACCCATTCTGTCAATAGTTACATCGTTGTTGCATAGGATCATACGTTTCACTTAGTTTAGCATCCTGTCCTGGTAGGTGGACATGCACTGTGGAGGACCAATAATGTGTGAGCATGAACTACTAGAGACAAATGGTAGTGTGTAGTAGGCCCATTGCTGTCTACCTTATGTCGAAGCTGTTGCACAAATTATGCAAGTTGTAGGTACATTAATGCAGGTGTCTCTTACGAAAAGCAGCCAATGAATATCAATGTATCACACCCTGCGTGGGCACCACCAGGACAATTTCTTTGAAAAGAATGGCCAGTTTTCCGGGAAAGGTTAGCCAAAAATTAACTTAAAAACTTAAGTCGTTTAAGAGCATTCTTATCGACCGCCCTGACTTTTAGTGTTTGTTTTTAATTCGTTTATTTGGCTTTTGGCTTTGCCTAAATTGTTATTAATAATTTGTATATTTTGGTAGTCGGGATAACACATTATAGCGACTGGCTACGAGCTGGATGGCCAAGATGCTAATCCCGACAGAGGCAAGATTTTTCTCCTGTCCATGTCGTCCATACCACTACCGGGGCTCAAGCAATCATCTATTCAATGGGTGGTGGGGGTTCTTTCCTCGGGGCTAAAGCTGGCGGGTTGTGTATCTGCTACCTCGCCTCCAACTAGTGCAAATGTCATGAATACAGGATCTATAAATTACTCCCTTATACTTCTTAATGGCGCAGTCGAGCCAATGTTTTACCAAACTGTGTTGGTAGAAGTCTGAAAATGCCGTTGTACTGTTGGAAAATTGTTTAAAATATACAGAGTAGAAACATGTATATGCAAAGTATAGGGAAGGGCATACACTTAGTTGCTCACTCTTGTAATTGATTCTTTTAAGAGGCAAATAGTTACTTTTTTTTGGGCTTAATGAAATACTATATGTCGTGAACGTTTCCTGTTTTAAGCTGGTCAAATGACCTACATCATTGTGGTTTGCACCATGTTTTTCTTATGGGTAATTGTGATCACAGTTGTATTGTCCTTAGGGTAGAAATGGCCTTTAGCAACTTGGTAGACACTGTATCAGTAGAATGCCCAACACACATTAAAAGGGAACTGTTACAATGTACATTCATATATTAGTCCCTGCATGTATCATTGGAAACGGTGGATATAGCACTGGAAATAGCTTCCTCAAAGTGATGCCCTCTGTAACGGTGTCTACCCAATTCTGAGCAAATTAATTGAGTCAATACCATCACGTCCCATTTATTTGAGACCCATTTTAATATTATTCTTCCATCTGGGCATATGTTTTCCAAATCATCTCTTTTCTTCAGGTATTCTGACCATGATTTCATGTGCATCTCTTTTCTCTCCTATATGAATACCATGATGTATCTCTCTCCCTCATTGATTTGGTCATCCTAACAATGTCTGGCAAGAAGTAAAAATTATAAAGCTCCTCAGTATGTAGTTTCACCGTCCTTCTGTTACTTCATCCCTCTTGGGTATCAGCCAACAACTAACAGAATTAGTATTTATTTCTTACAGATATAGGAATAATTTTATACTATATATAAAGGGGGCACATGGTAGCATAGTTGGTTGAAGCTGCAAGCTAGAAGGTCTCAGGCTCAGTTCCTAACGAGGTCATTGGATTTTTTAGTTGACCTAATCCTTTCAGCTGGGTCGAATCAACCTCTAAGAGAAATGAGTACCGGGAATTTTCCTGGGAGTAAAGGGCGGTCAGCTGGTGCTTAAGGCTGACAACCTCAACACCATCTGTGAGCTGATTGTCTAGAAAATGTGGAAGCCTCCATGTCTCACAACCCTATGGGCCTCCACAGTCTGTTACAGGGATAGGTCTACCTTCTTATATTTCTATTTAATGTGATTTAAACATGTTCTCTTCCCAGCATCGCTTCACTTGCCGCTCTGTGGAGTATAATTACGTCACGCTGCAATGTCATCTCAGCGATTCAGATCGGCGCACCACTGGACAATATGTTCAGTTTGTTGATGCTCCAGGAGTTGACTATTTTGAAAATCTCTGCCTTAAGGGTAAGTTAAAATAGTTTTTCAGACGACAGAGTCATGAAGCAGGCCTGTTTTACATTAAGTAAGAATCATATAATTATTGAGTGTTCAAGATTTGGCAGCAGCCAGTAGTACTCCTGAAGCACTTCTGAATAGATCTCTGCCAATTAAGTCTCAGTATCAAAGTTTAGCTTTTCTGTCGCTCGTTTGTGAACAGCTGCTGAGTGACGACAGAGAACTACCATTACAAGTACTGTGTAGTCTAGTAAAGGTTTATGGATTTCTTGGAGAAAAGTACTGCCTTGTTCAAGTTGAAGAGTAAAGCAAGCAAGGTACAAGCAAAAAGCCAGCAGAAAGCAAATTGTTATCAAAATAGCACTGCCATGACAACCTCAGCTCCAACAGGATTGTGCTGTATTACGGCTGAATTCAGAGCCCAAGAATATTTTGTTGTCATTGTAAATCACTGAATATATTGATATCTTTAGGTTGAAAATAAATTCAGGACTAATTACTATATTGTTGTTGACATTCTCATGAATGTCCTTTGTTGAAGTGAAGGTGAAAGAAAGAAAGAAGAAAGAAATCATGTTCAAGTGTAAATGAAAGATTGTTTGCTTAATGCCCAAGGCCCAAGCACAGAACAGACCCCCGACAAGGGCAGAAGTTTTAGGATATAAACTTATTTAACTGTGAAACCTGACATGATTACAGAAAAATCTTAAGGGTTTACTCATACCTATGATGGTGTGGGGGTTGGGGGTAAGCTAGATGTCTGTCCCTCCCTGGATTCTATGGAAAAAGAAAGTAATTCAGAATTAAAGGCGAAGAAAATACAGTGGAACCTCGCTTAACGAGTATAATTCATTCCAGAATCTTACTCATAATGTGAAACACTCGTTAAGCGAAACAATTTTTCACGTATAAATTAATGTAAAATACGATAATGTGTTCCATGCCAAAAAAAAATACTAAAAAAATTTTATGTATAACGTTTATTCAAAGAAAATTATATATACATTGTTAAGGAGCATGAATTATCTTCATCTTTTCTTCTATGCGGAATGAACCAACCTGGAATGCGAATTCGATTTGCAGAAAAAAATGATTAGTTTATTATTTATGATACATTTCCAATTCTTTTTTACTAGAAAGCTGTCTAGAGACATTTGTTTTTGCCGACACTTCAAAATTTGGTGAAAATGCGACACAGCATTATCATTAAATAAATTTGTAGCACACATAGCCACTGCCTTATTAGGGTGATGCTTCTCAATGTACGATGCAACAGTTTCCCATGCTTTCAGCATTTCTCTTATTGTGCCAGAAGATTGTTGCTTTGCTGTTACCTCCTCCTCCTCCTCCTCCTCCTCTGAGAAACTCTCGTCCACAACTTCTTGCTGTGAAACACAATGCAACACCATATCGTGCAAATTTTTGATGTAGACCGATTGTGAGCCACGCTCGCACCTCATTCTCGCTTTTCAATGAATTTACGTTTAATTTCTATGGTTATTTTTATTCTCTTATGGTTGTCTTTTTGCGGCTTTTTCTTCAGGGACATTTTTGCAAGGGTTATTAAACTTTGCACAAAAAAAAAATCACAAATAATGTCTGAACACAAGTTTGGAAAAATGTGTGATCACAAGCGACACTAAGATGCTAGCGGAACGAGTGCTAAACACAGACTGAGGTAGCAAGCGCACAATCCGGGACTTCCCCTCTTGTCACTCATTATGCGAAATGTCGCTTGTTAAGCGAGTCATTTTTTTACAATTTGTTTTGCTTGTTATGCGAATTACTCGTTATGAGAGGTGCTCGTTAAGTGAGGTTCCACTGTATATTAAATATTACTAAAAAGGAATCTTGAATGCAATTTGCTGCATCATCTGTTTCAAAGTCTACATCTCTAAGAGAGATCTGTAGAAATGTTCTTAAATGGCTTAAAGGTCTGGCAATAGACCCTCTGGTTGCTACACCCTTGGAGGAAATTCTGGCACTGACAACCTCCCCCCCCACACACACACAAATCCTGAATGTAAGTGCCCTCTTTTGGAAAGAATCTTGCCACTTACTGCCCTTTTATAGACAATTATGGTGCTGGCTACCACCCTCTGAAAAGAGCCCTGGCATTACACATGTACATAGCCAATAAACTGTGAGTTAGCTCATGGATTCCATTATTAAGAATGATTGGAAATAAAAGGAGATATTCTGCAGCCTAAGGACATGCTTATTTGGCAGTCACTGTCATAAGTACATCAGTTTTTAACCCCCCCCCCAAAGCGGCCTCCGCAGTCTAGAGGTAATGTTCCCACCTCATGACTTGTAGTACGTGGGTTCAAATACCCGGCGGAGGTCGTCGAATTTCTAAGGGCGGAAAAACTCAGGGAACAAGTCCTCCGGGAGGGACTTTAAGCCGTGGGTACTGTGTCGTAGCTTAACGGCACGTTAAAGAACCTCATATCCCCAAAGGAGGTCACTGAGCCAAAATTGCAGACGTTTGCCGCCCGACAGCAGTCACTAATACCTCCGGTAGATGGGGCAAGCATTATAGATACCTCTCAGCTAGTAGAGCCGGTCTCGCTGGCTGGGCAGGACTGATGGTAAGCACCAGTACCGGTAGGATATAGAGACTGGTAGAAATCGTAGAGGGAAGCACAATGGACCAATACAGGTCTCAGTGTATGGGGAAACTCACCCCCCCCCAAATATGTCTTTCTTAAGCTTTTATAATGAAATTAAAATTTCTTTGTACTTATGAAAATGTCTCCTTGACAATTATGTGATTTTTAAATTTCAGCCAACCAGGCTTGCAAAGCGAAAAGACAGTTCCAGGTACCTCGCATTGGAGTAAATGAAGACAAAGTGTCACAATATGCCAGTCTACATTACTATGTCGATAAGGAATTACAGGTATGTATGGGCTTACAGTGCTGTTAATACGACAGAAAAGAATAACCACTTTCTAGAAGTTAAACTTTGTAACTAGGCCCAGAGAACTGACCCCCTCCCACCTCCCCAAGACAATGATTGTCTAGCTTTGTAGCTTACTAGAAAATTTAGTAAAGTTCTAGAGAAATCTACAGCATTTGTAGCTGGTAGTATGTAGAATAGCTTTCTATTGGAAAATAATTAAAAAACCATTATTTAAATGATTCTTTTGGCTTGGGTTTTTACAGGTACAGTATTTTCTGTAAATTAACTTTTGATTGAAGCACAAAATTGACATTTATGGAGACAAAAATCAGTAATGCATTACAACAGACAGGCCACTAAAATCACTAGCCATTGTCAAAATATTTTAGATCTTATAAATGGGTTTCTTTGCCTTTGGTTCATAGCTGATAATGCACTATTAGGTAACCTGATCTTAAATTTTAATTACCACTGATTTGAAATTCTGTCACCTGACCATCTGAATAAAACTTCAATCCTTCTCCTCCTCCTCCTCCTCCTCCTCAGACATTTCTGCTTGGGTTGCCTAGCAACAAAGCCTCTCCAATATTTCGGTCTTCCAAAGGTCCTCCATTTCACTGTGTTCCATGACCTTCATATTTTGTATGCACCATCTTTCCTAACCTGCTGTTCCCATATTGAACTGATCTTGCTTACAGACATTTTCTTTATAGGTTCGTGTTAAAATTTTCTTTGGCATTGTACCTTCATTTATCCTTAAAAGATGTCCATACATTGTATTTTCTTATTTATCAATTTATGTTCCAAGATGTCTGTCTTTAACTTCTCTCTGTTTTGCATGAATTATTCTTCATTTTTTTCTCCCTTTTGTAGTTCTTAAAAAATCTCCTCTCTGCTGCTGTTAGTCAACTAATATCTTCCTTGGCCCACATTCATCTTTCTGCTCAGTGCATTTGACTCTTATTCATCTCTAAAATGTTCTCATCTGTACAGAAATAGCCCAAGTCCTACAGAACCAGGTCAAGGTCAAATTATAATACCATGTATTGTCCAAAATCACTTTAATGTCACTGATTAATGAATTAACTGCCAGGTGACCAGCGAGTCAGCATGCCAACTTGCCTGTGAGATTGAAAATGAGTTCCTATGCAGATCATTTCTCTACCGAGGCGCACCTGTTGGTACTTCTTACAACTGCCAGCTATTCCACCTAGACCACAAGACATTGCCTGATGGACCAAGCACGTACCTCAATGCTGAACGACCACTCATTGATAACGGAGAACGAGTCGGCACTTACTACGAGAATTTCTGTGAGAGTATGTATGTCGACAGTTACAGTCTAACATCTAGTATGTATAGAAAAGTAACTCCCCCCCCATTTTTTTTACTACTGATCCAATACAGAAGATTCAGGAGTACCATAAAATTTACTGCATACTGTTGCCAACATGTACAGTAACCATGGGCCATTTTTTCTTATGATCCTGTGAGTAAACTCTGATTTCTTAATTTGAATGTCATTCCTTTCGTTAAGGTTTTAGCTTCTCTCTTTGGTGATGTTGACAGGGAAGCAATCATATTCAGGGTGAGGAACAGGTACTTCTTGTTCTTATATAAACTAGGGTGCACCCACAGTAATATGTTCATCATAGCTCATGTACCAAAGGACTAATTTCCAGGTTTTTGAATACTGAGAGTTAACTATAAGGTAAAGTTGTCCCTGTGTTTAACTAATTAAGCACTATGCCATGAAGACATATGGGGGGAGTGGATGTATAGATCCACGTTTTCTTGACCTCGGCACTAGTTAGAGGTGAATGGTCAGTGTAGTGCCCTTGCCGCTTTACCTCTGGGGAAAGAGGCCCCTGTAACCATTGGATAGGAGGCTGGCTGGGTCCCAGAGCTGGTCCGGACAACATGGAGAAGAGCAAATTCTTGACGCTACTGGGACTTGAACTCCGGCCCCTCGGTCGTCCAGCCCATAGTCAGTTGCTATACCAACTGCGCTATCCCAGCACTTAGGATGTAACTGTAGGTTCTGAAATTTGAAACTACCCTGTAAGTGAATGAAAACACAACAATAAAAGTAAGAACTTAATTACATTTGAATATACAGCAGGGGATATGTAACTAACTTATGAATTGGGATTTATAAAATGATACTTATATTTATGAATGTATTTGACTCCGGTGCAATTGGTAAAAAAAAACATGAGTGCATTTTCTGAGAAGCTCCTGTGTTGTTTATATATATTAAAAGCAAAAACCAAACAAAAGAAGCCTTCTGATGTTTCCAAGTACATATTGTCACATATCAGAGTGATTCTTCATGGGGTTTGGATTGGATATTGGATTTATTGACCACTTACAGATTGTAACTACATAGAACTATAACAACACTATCACTGATTTGAGCACTGTATGATTCACTAGAGCACAGAGTCTAGTGTTCTCAGTCTGTTATTACAAGTAACTATTAACAGTCTCACTGAATTACACACTGCAAATATCACTGTAACTACAGTACACATGAAGTCCTCTCACTCTACACATTTTCTGGTAACAAATTTTAACAGTGGAGATTCTTAAGTCCTCTCATAACAGACTCCTGTACAGAATTGACTTAAGCTCTAACATTGTCCCTTTCTTATAACATCTCATCATGGACAAAGTAGGAAACACACTGTCTTTCAACAGTACCTCCATTTGTTGCATCACTTTGTTGCTGCAGAAATGTGTTCCCCGAACCATTCTGTAGCAGCAAGTGTCTATTCCAGCTTATCAAGAATCTGTCACTAGCAACAGATGTCATTCTGCTGTTTGGTTTGCAGGCATTGCCTCAAACAAGTCTGTATGCCCCATTATTCAAATGTGAAATAGAATTCCCTTCATTTTGTACTAGTTCCTGTTTAAAAGCAAATTAAAACAAACTTTATCTTTTGACATTGGACACAGTTTTCCAAATGAAGCCCTGCGATAATCTGGCCCTGCCATATCTGAAGAATGAACAATACTTGAACTTTGCTGCTTGAAGCCTAAAATTCACTTAAATGTGATTTAAGAAATAGTTCCCACCTCACAGAAAACACTGTGTAGGTCTAAGGTTAAGACCCATCAGTTAATGATATTTAAGGAAACAAGTGCCATTTATTTTGAGATTCATGCAGAATGAAACAGATACATTTTGTGGACAAAATGCAGAGATTTGGGGGGATGAAGCAAATAGTACCTATATACAAGTAACCACTGTGCTTCAAGGGGTTACAAGAAACTGGAGAATATTAATTAGGTGCTTCACATTTTATACTAATGATATGCTGGTTTTGGAGTTCAGTCAAGAAGACTGACTTAGTTAAGCATACAGTGCAGAAACAAGAAAATAATATAGAATTTTGTGTGGATAACCTCTTGGAAAGAGATCACTTCACAAACTGACATTTTGTTGAAAATTAATACTAGCAAATTTTATGATAATATGTAGTGGGGCAGTAAGTGGGACTAATCTGGCTCAGTATGGGGTATAAGGACAAGCTTCTAGCTATTAGCAGGAGGTTAAAACAAAGGCAATTCATGTTGCTTGCATTCAAGAGATATGTACTTCTCTTCTTGATTGGAAACTTAAATCTTTTTTCTGTGTGTGTGTGTGTTCTTGGTACCTCTAGGCAAATGCTTTAACAATCCTACAGATAGATATAACAGAATCCCAAGTGCATGAAGATAGAAGCTGTGAATGGATGTGGGTAACAATGAAAAATTTAATCATTTAAATGCCAGGCTCTAACATAGAACAGCCTGCTAGAAATGGCAAGCAAGGCTGTTTAAGGATGACTGCAGATACATTAAGGATGAATGTAGATGTATAGAGAACCCTACGAAACTTTCCTCATATAACCCTCCAACAACAACCGAAATATTTCAAGTGAAAGCCTGTCCATTCCTCCAGACATCAACATGCCACATTTAAAGTCATCATTAGTCAGAAATGGTATATACTAAATTATTAAAAATAAGCTGAACTCCTTTGCTGTGGCAGTTTCAGTCCAAGCACCTGAAGCCAGTCTAGACAGTACATGATTTGCAAAAGGTTAAAACCTGCAGTATCTCAAGTGGCCTTTTGAATAAAATTCTCTCTGTTATTTTTGCAGAGACAGCTAGCAACCCACATGAAAACTTACCACCAGAAATTAACACCACAGTGGATCCATCTTTGAACAATTTAACTCGCAATGATATCAACTGTGATAAAACTGGAACATGTTATGATGGTAAGTCTGAGTACTACTTCAAAATGTGTAGATTACAATTAGTATAGTTTGAAGTATACAAATTTGGTGATGCTGAGTAAATGTATGTTAAGAGTGTTATTTTAATAAATGTAGGGCAATAGAGCCCATAACTTGTCCAAACGCATAATATGGCGGACGCAACAACGGCCAGTAATAAGTCTGCGGAGGATTTTGTGGATTTGACTAAAGAGGAATGTGATTTTAAATGCGAAGGTTGCATTAAATATAAAATTGAGTTAACGAAATTTATTTCTGAATTAAAATCAGCAATGAAAGTTATTGAAATCCTGAAGGAAGACCAAAAAACTGATGTATTAATGGATAGATTAGTCACAAATGCACGTAGCCATGAAGAAGTTTTCCAACTATCGCTAAGTGCTGAAAATTGGACGCATATACCTGTGCATTCACAAGAGATGGATTCTGTTAGCTATAGTAAAATTACAGAAACGACGATAAGAACTACAAATAGTTTTGGAGTCTTACATAACCTAGAAAAGGATCAGCCTAGGCAAATCGAGAAGAGTAAGATGAGAAGTCACAAATCTAATGCAACGAACCAAGATTCAACTGCAAAGGAACCTATTTCATCAAGGACTAGTAGATACAAGAAAGCAGAAGACCTGTTGCCAGAATTTCATATCCCTGTGATAGTGAATGATTGTGTCCCTTGTAGTACTTATTCAAAGTTTTCAGAAAACGATTTGTCTGCAGTTAAAAGTGGTGACAGTGATACTGACATGCAAATTTCAAACAAAAATGCAAGTCTAGAGCAGAATCTTCTAGTTGATAAGACTAAACATTTAATTTTATTCATTGGTGATAGCCATATTAGAGACTGTGTAGATAAGATCAAAGACAACTTAACTAAAATGTCCAGAGTAATAGGATTTGTCAAGCCAGGAGCTGACATAAGTAACTTATCTACCACGGCAGAGTCTATGGTTGAATCCTT